TAATAGATAAACAATACAATGAGCAAGTAGTTAAGTAAGAACTTTTCAGTGGTGACACTCCAGTGATAGAAAGTTTTCCCCAAATATTAGGCAAAGATTTTCTCCAGATCATATATGTATATGCATATGCATATGCATATGCGTGTGTGTGCTTTTTTATACATTAAGCATTAATCGTTTTATTAATTTTCAAGGTGACTTTGTAAGTTTCTGACCTTGTTTTGATTATTAGCTTTCTGACATCAAGAATAGGTGCCCGATGCATCTGAAATGCCTTTGTTAGAGTCAACCTCCACCCATGTACAGTTTTGTTCAGCTTGTTCAACGCTCTATATTGAAAGCACTATGATCCTTTATGTAAAATTAAAAAGTATAACAGAACCTCCTAATGTTTATTATAATCCTGTAATAAAATTATAGGGATCTCCATTTCTTGTTTCTTTCCCCTTGTATTCGGCAAATCATCCCTTTATGCAAAATAATGATAACTCAAGCTTGATTTCTTTAACTGTAATTTCTATTTTTAAAAAAATATTTTCCAATTAGAAAAGATGGTCTTAAATACCAAATAGGACAAAACTATGTGAGAAACCTTAAAGATAATATATCTTATAAAGGAAAAACACTGTTAGGGTTTTAGTGATTTTATGGTTAGTTTAACTGCTGTTTTTAAAGTTCAGATGGTTAATAATAAATAAATAAAACACAGTTTTATAGGAAAATATATGTTTAGATTTCCCCAAAATTTTTTTAAAAAAATCTTTAAAATATATTTTTCCACTCTCACCAATGGCTTTCAAAATAAATTACATCTAACAATTTTGTTTAGAATGTTAGGAGATTATATGAAGATTCTACTTTTCTCCCCCAAAATAAAGCTATGTTAAGATTTTTTTCACATTTTTAACCAGTTTATGGCAAAGAAACAAACAACCCCCTTTCCCCCCGCCCCAAAAACAGCTTTTGGCATACTTCAGTCCAGAATAAGCTTTGTCATTTCATTCTGCTGGCTTATATATTAATTGCATAAGTACTTTGAAATAAATAAATGTTTTAAAAACCAAAACCAAAACCCTAATCTTGTATTCAGAAATCTTACAGGTAAACAAAGCTCTCAGAAGATTTAATGTAGACTTCAATATTAGGAAAGACTGTTGATATTTTAATACTCATAACACCAGCATATGCTATATTTTTTCTACAATAAAACATATTCTAATCAAAGGATATTAATAATATGTGTGATTTTTTAAAAAGTGACTTATATGAGAGATGTAGAGTTACCATTCCTCCATCAAAAAACAACACCCCCCCCCGCATATTATTCCCATATATCAACATTTCAAAGTGCATTATATGCACTTTATATTTTGGGAACTTGATAAATTTTGTCGTTACATAGATATAGCTCCCCTCAAATATGATAGACATAATAAATTGCTATAATCAAATCTAATTTCTGGAAAAATCCTGTGGGAATAGCAAACAAAAAAGCATGTCTTGTTAAAAAAATGATAAATAACCCAGAAGGTTGCAGTTTATTATAACCAACTTGACACTGAATTAAAAAATTAAAGTTACATGTCCCATGATAACAAACCCTAACAGTGCATAGGTTCTATGGAATTCTGTTGACTTTTGCATTTCATAGGAGCACTTAAAAAAATTATAAAGAAGGAAGGAAGGAAGGAAGGAAGGAAGGAAGGAAGGAAGGAAGGATGGATTACAAAAGACCCTACAGTACAAAATATTTTGAGGACAAATCCATCTGCCCTGTGAAAACTGATGTAAAATCTCAGCTAAAAGCTCATTAGATTTGTTACACTATGAAAAAGTGCTGTTCTCCAAAATGAATCTTTCTAGTAAGACTAAGCAAATAATATGTTACATTTTACTACTTGAAAGTGGGCATTGTTGGGATTCCTACAAATCTCTGGTAAATACAGAAAAATCTGAATAGCAGATTATACCTAGCCTAGACTGTAATTTGGTAGGAGTATTCAACAATTATATGCTGCTAAATCAGATTTGCATAAATTCTCATGAAAACTGCATGTGTGATGTGGTTTTCAGTGTTTTTGGCATCAAGTATTTTATGTCTTGAAAAAAACAAAGACATCTGGATGGCACCTACCAATAACATTTTCCTTGCACTTGCACTGGCCTGAAATTTGGTGACAGGCAGTATCTCCATCGACCGTCCCAGAGGCATTACAGCCACAGGGGCTGCAGCCATAAGGGTTGAACTCTTGTAGATTGTAGAACCCTTCCCGGCACCGATTGCATTGTCTGCCAGACACATGTCTTTTGCAATTACAGTTGCCTCCAATCTGAAAAAAAGATATAAAAAGAAAAGTGTGGTCAAATGTTGAGTGCCCTTTTTTTCCCCCTTTGCCTTGTGCATACTCATTAGTGAAATGAGTTGGTTGGTAGGTTATCTTCAGACAGAAACACGAATAAAGCAGATCACTTTGGTTCATGCTCTAGTAGTTATTCACTAAAAAAGAGAATTAGAGGAACAGCAGGAATTCAATACATTCACTTAAAGAAGAGTATGTGCTCTTAGGAGAAAGATGCTTTCATGAACCTTTACCAAACTACTCCACCTATGGACAGTTTACTTATGTGTGATATACAACTTTCAAATGTCCAGGTGCTGATATTTCAGCTACTGTATCCCCCGATTTCTATGCTACTTAATTTGTTAAGATGGTACATGAAAAGAAACCATGCTGTGGTAAGAACATCAGGATAGCTTTTCTGCATCAAACTAAGCCCCATCTTAGTCCAACATTTTGTTTTTCACAGTAATCAACCAGATGCTTCTAGGGTATTCACAAGCAGGAGATAGTTACCATTTCCTACTGCTCTTTCCCTGCAACTGGTATTTGGAGGTAGGCTACCCCACATCCAGAAGAAACACTGAATCTTCAAGACTAATAACCTTCAACAGGCCTATTTCCAATCATTGGATGACCTCTGGTACTAGTATTTTGAACTATGAAGAAATACATGTCCCTATCCACTTCCTTCATGCCATGAATATTTTTATATACCACAAAGCTAAAGAGTCCTACCTCTGTTGCCTTTTTTTCTAAGCTAAAGAGTCTCAGACATTCTTGTAAGAAAACCCCTGGATCACTTTTGCTGCCTTCTCTTGCATTATTTCCAGCTTTATTAAATCTTTTTTTTTTTTCAAATGTGGCAACTGGAATGGTACATGCTATTCCAGATACAGCTGTAACACAGACCAGTAAGGCATTATAATTTTCAGTCCCTTTCCCAATGATCCCTAGCATGAAATTTGTCTTTTTCTTAGTCGCTGCACTCTGAGTTGACATGTTCATTGAGCTATCCATTATGACCCAGGGCCTATATAGATATGAAATGGGGGGGGGGGGGAGTGTCCCAATGTACTTATTTTACATTTACTTGAATTGCCTTTGCCATTTGATTGAACATTCACCCATGGTTACAGGTATCCTTCTGAGGTTCTCTGTATCTCTGAATCATCTGGTATTATTGACAAAATTGGTCAGCTATTACTTATCAGTTAGTCAAAATCATTTATGAAGAGGTCAAAAAGCACGAGGCCCAACATGGAACTTTGATGGACTTGTCTTACTTCCTTTCTACTGAGAAAATTTCCCATTTTTTCCTACTCTTTGCTAAACAATCCATAAAGGACACAACCTCTTATCCCATTAGCTCTAAGCTTACTCAGACTTTTTGATGAGAAACATTTGAAAGGCTCATTGAAATTCCAAGTATACAATGTTGGCAGTGCCAGTTGACATTCTCAATAAACTGCAGAAGGTTGATACAGCAGAGTATACCTATATGCTGGTTTTCCTTCATAAAGATTTGTTCTTCTATATATATATATTTTTCTTTGATTATTGTTTCTTCCAGTTTGCTGAAACGGATGATAAACAGACCAGTCTATAATCCTTAAATACCGGTCCTCAAGGACCGAGCCCAATTTGAGGCATATATTACGTATTTTTATTAAGAGGTCAGCAATTCTACATTTGACTTAAGGAACTCTCAGGTGAATGCCACCAGGACCCTGTGATTATAGAAACAGTTCGCAGTATGAGGTTATCATGTTTTGCTGGAAGTCAG